TATGTAATTTGTATATACAATGCTAACGGCAAACACTAAGTGTTGTGCAAATGTACATCGACATCTCTTAATGTTCTATATGAGGCCAATAATCATATACATTCTCCGTGTGATCATTTCACAAGTTTCCTCTAGTGCAGCTAGGTCGTTAGGTTCGTTATTTGATATTCTCACTTGTACCCTCATTTCGACTTAAGTAGTTATATAAGACTTCCCGTCTTTTTTTGGTATCGTTTTACGACCTATCGACGACTAATGTCCTATAGGTAGCAATATAAAGTCGGCATCCGATCTCCGCTAATGGAAGGAGGCCAACACACAAAAATATGAATCGTACCTGCAGCATGCATGTACATACAGACATTAAATTCCTTACATGAACTTACTGATGATGGGAAATTAAACCATGTAAACAACACTAGAACATAATTTCGATCATGGTTTTGTCTTGTTGTTTTACGACCCGTCGACAATTTAAGTCATAGAGGGCAAAACAACACTGTCAGAAGAGGTGTTGAAAAAAACTTAAATTTAAACTAAAAGATAGTAGATGCAAAGAGATCAACAACAAACCATATAGTTTGTTTGTTTATGGTTAGACGTCATAGGTTTGGTTTAATTTTGTTTACCGTCCTACATCTGTATTACCAGTTAATGTCATGTAAGGACGTTCACCGTGTGTGTAGTGTGTCTAGTGTATGCATGCTTGCGTGTGTGTATGCAGGAGACAGGATGTGTTGTTTTGCTTGCCTCCTTGTGAAAGCGCGAATCTGATGCCGACTGTATAGTGCTATCTTGCCAAAGGCACCCACCACAGCTTCCTCACATGGGCGAACGCTCAACATTAAGGCCAAAAGCGAGGTGTTGCCAAGCAAGGCGCTAGGGAATAAAAGGTAGTTAAATCTTTCTGCAGGGGGTTCCCACATTAGTCGTGTCCTACGAAACATACAGTGGGTAACCGCAGGTGTATTATTTTCCCGATTCCCCACCTGCAGTGTTGGAGGTCATAGATAGGTGGGTACCTAGGAAATCATCGTCAAAAGGAAAGAGAAGACTGGAACAAGCGGAGTAAAGTATCTTGCTCAAAGATACAACACCGCTCCCTTTGGTCACGAGCCCGGCGTCCTACCACTAGACTACCGTGCCTCCATTATTTTGTTTAACGTCATATCAACAGCTTAGACCATATAAGGACGTGCCCCCTGTGTATTGTGTAAGCGTGCATGTGTGTATGTGTGTCCGAGGGAGGGATTGTTTTGTATTTGCCTCCTTATGATAGCGCGGATCTAATGCCGACTTTATAGTGCTATATCACTGAAATACCATGCCGAAGGCACACAGCACACATTCCGTCCGGTCACATTATACTAACAACTGGTGAACTGGTTGCTGTCATTACCCTTAATGATGAACGTTTAGTACGGCATAACATCTACATTAACACTTTGGGGATTTTGGCATGTAACAAAAAAGACAGATTCCAAACTAGTTATTCAAGGAATCATATATAAATGGCAATGTATATATATTAATTAAGTACAGTAAAAGTGTATCAATCGCTTTTTTAAATTCAGCGCATGTACTCGGTTGAATGAAATGTAGAGAATAAGTTGATCGTTATTTTGTAAAATGTACGCATGTGACGTTGTATACATTTAATAAATAACCAATGTGCAGTTTCCAGAAGACAAATTTCCACCCTGGGGTATGCCCTATTGGTTGCAAAGGATATTCGTTAGGTTGAATTGAATTAAACGTATTATATATATATATATATATATGTTTATTTTGAAAACAGGCATTGTGAGGTCATAGTTGTTTACACAAGAAAGTATGACGTCATCAAAAATGCAAAGTCATTATGACGTCACAGAAGGCATAAACATAAATCCATGACGTCAACAACAATACAAGCTTAATTGTGACGTCACAATACTTCGACAAATGCATAACTTTATGATCTTACCAACAATAAAAAATACGGGAGATACAAACTATTTCATTTACGGCAACAATAAAATATGAACAATAATATTTAAAGCACAGCAATTGCTTAAAACAAATATATATATATATTTAGTCAATATATCTTTCAAATTGGTTTGAAAACAATGTCAATGAAGGTTTGGAATCATAGTTAGGTACCCTATCTTGCTGTGGTTTGTCATCCTGAACTGATTCGTGTCCACTAAATCCGACATGACCGGATATTTCAATTCATATTGACACGGACAATTGCCTTTTGAAAATATTCTGAAGTTTTTATGTGTAATACTTTGTAAGGCAGATATTGTTACTTTTTATTTCATTTAGCACGTGCTATTTTCTCTTACATTTTAGCTGTCGGTTTACAAACGTTCATCGAGAGCTTCGCACTTTATACATTCACATGTTTTCCTTAAAGATTCGTTTTTCTCCTTGCAGATTTTCAGGTGCTTCCATGTCAATCTTTTCTTTTGCCCTAGTTTGTTAATTTTTCAGTTGGAATTATGGTTTTGTTGACAATTCTGTATTCTCTTGTGTGTTTTTGTAGATTCAAATATCTATGAAACTTATTTTAACTTATAAATTATTTTTCAACATGTTAATGATAATTTACCTCTTTAATTCTAACATGACCTGACCATTAAACGACACTTTTAAATTGTATTGTTGAAGTAAATAAATACCCAATTATCTTCTTCACTATAAGCTTGTTCATACCTGTTGATACATAATTATAATCTATAAAATGTCATACATCATAATTTACATTCCCAGTTTACGTCATTGTCTATTAGAAATCCGAGCTAAATCACTCGTGTTATAGTACCATATTCATCATACTGTCCACGCACTTATCGAAGACTTCGGTTATACACTGTCTGACAATGTTCCGCCCCAACCCCGGAACACAATGCTTATTCACTGCTGCCATTCTCATGGTTTAATGAGGCATCAGCGTTTGTGTTTACAGATACAGACCGGCAGATTGATGTCGCTGAGTGAATGATGACAAAACTTGCTAACGAGCATGGTAGGCTTATGATGCTGAGAGTCTCTTCACCAATCACATGTGAATCGAATACATCAACAAGAAGCAGCTTTTACTGCCACTATAAGCTTGTTTATCGATTGGTGAGAGATGGGGAAAATACACCGAGAATGGTTTCATACCCATCTCAGGTAGAGCGTGTCAGTTGAAAAGTCGATGTTAGGCATACATCATCAAGGAATGGTAATAATTAAAATGTTACTCGTCAACCATCACAATGCAAATCCGTACCACAATATGCTGCTAAATTAAAATCCGTTTTCCTTTCGATCAATCTGTCATCATATGGAATCTCAAACATTCCAATTTCAATGTATCAATTTATTTTGTCCATGACATTTACACGATATGCTTTCCCATGTTGCAGTATCAATGTGCTTCATTCATGATACCATTGTCAGGCGCTCCATGTGAACTGCATATGTGATCTTGTTAACCCCCACAGTGAACAATGTATGTGTTCAACGCTGTACTATAGGTGCGAGATGTAATCAATTATCGGAGAAGACATTACGTCGAGTATAAGGTAGCAGGTGCGATTCTGTTAAACGGGTTAATCTGTCAGCCTGACCTAAAGGGTTTGTCACCCACAGCGGATTAGAACAGAGAGGACTGATGCCACTGCTACACAATAACAGACCAGCGTGTCACCATATAGCGTATACACAGTATTAAGTCATCCTCGGAGGCCGTGTGCATATATATATATATATATATATATATATATCACCTCTGAGTCGGCTTTTGTCTATTTACTCGGCACACGGCAACTACTACCACATGCTACAGTGATGGGCCTAGTCGAAAAGAAATATTTTCATAGATACTGTGAAAATTCATGTAACTTACGAAATTACTGTAAAATGATATTGTTCGTAGCAATTTTGGACATACACTTTTAAATTTAATTTGTTGCTTTTAGTTCGACTTAAAAACAATCCGAATATATCGTTGAGTGTTCTTGGTAACTTTAGAAGCAGTTCACTGATTCAAAATTCTCACCTGCTTGTTTCAAGTTATTGATACTGAATATGAAAACAGAGCAGCTGTTGACGAATTGATTTTCTGTGTATGTCAACAAGTCAGCATACTCAAGTTCCACGTGTATTGCTAGCACACCTTGCCTTACCACAGGAGTTCAGTGATTAAATATGTACCATCTCAAATGCCAGTGCTCACTGCAAACACATTAGACCAGTGTTAGTGATACTGGTTGTGTGTTTCTATAATTCGCTTTGGAGTTTTAACAGTTCCGGAATCATTCGTCTGCGTAATCGATGATAGTTTTTGTCTCTCCGTTCAAAGGATTTAATTAATTTTGGTGATCGGGAACATTTGTAAGTAAGAACATTTTATTGTTTATGTAACAGTTAAATAAGACTCTGTCGACCTTCTAGTATTCTGTTCTGGCTAAGAGCGCCTGTTCAGCGACGCACAGTATTAAATTTGGACAGTCTATTATTGAGGAAAGGAGGTAAATTATCATAGCTACAGTAGAGTGGGCTGTGTATATCCTTGGTTGATATGAAAAGTGCTTTTGTCCACCGCTTTCGATCGATGTCCGATCTTTCTCACAGAGTTGTATAGGAGTACGGTAAGCTTAATAGCAATACATCTGGTAAATGCCGCTAAATCTGATAATCTCCTGACGGCGTGGAAAGTATCGGAGGCAAAGAAAGAACGTTTAGTATACATTTTAAATCAGCGGACAGAAAGGCACGCGCACGGTGCACGCGTTGATAGATTATCAACTAATCAGAGCGGTCCTTTGGGAAGCTCCGCCCCCTCTATTTCAAAAGATATTTATTTTGAACAGAACTTTCCTCATCATTGCCTTAAGGAATCATTTGGTATTGAAATAATTTCTTCCATACCAATGATTTCCTTCTACAGTGATTACTGATATACACGTGCTGTGGTTAAACGTGCTTGTGAATTCTTGTGGACGACGTTACTGCGGAGAATCATGGGCTGGGCATCGTATGTAGGGTATTACATCGTGACTGGACTGGTCACTATCTACGCTGACCGTAAGTACAAAAATTATAAATATTCACGTTCCTCTAAGAGGAGACTATGTAGTATCATAGACAAAATATATTTAAACGAGAATTTTCATGCATAACCTTTCAGTAGTAAACGAACACGTTAAAATGCTTAAATGGAAGATAATACTAGCAATGATGTACTTAAATATGATAGTAAACTTACATACAGATCTAGTGAATTTCACTGACGGAAAAAAATGAATTTTGATATTGATAGCGTTCACAAATGAATGCATAGGTTCGTATAGCATAGTTACGCTTGATAGTAGCATCACATATTAAAATCGTTAACTCAGGAGTTCAGTAGATAAGTAGACTAATACAATGTCAAACACGTGGTTTTATGTAACGCATGAAATAATATAGGAAAAGGGAAAATATACAAATGGGGTATCATATACAAAATACTATCTACCTTTATACATATTCAGTGAATGTCGCTTAATATGTTCTTGTCTGTTTCGAACAAATATGTGATATATAATCACGTCATTTCGGCTGTCACTAGTGGTTCACAATGATTTTATTCTCTAGAGATTGCCAGACTTTGCCTCTTTTCAAGTAGGGGATGATGTCTGGCCTTTTGTGCTTGCATTACTTCAACTCCTGATGTTGTCTCGGTATCTGTATTTGGTGTATTGAATTGGTATGGTTTAGTTGTTTTTTTTAATGTTTATTTGAACGAGTTATGAAAATTGTTTTTATTTCACTTTGAACCTCTTAAATCCGGTAACTTAAGTTGTCCAAAACTAAAGGATTAAGGTTTTTTTCAAATAATGAAACACGAAATAGATATAGTAAGTTATTTAGTCCAGGATCACTTGTTTCGAAAGGTGCGTTTATCAATCTAGTAATGTAAGGTTACAGTGAAGACTTCTCTGTAAAATCAATCCGAAATGAGGCGTTATTCTCCTTTGACATTTTACGTTGTATAACGTCATAGGGAAAAGTATAAATAAATATTTGGACAAAGTTAGCATGAACGTTTTTGCCCTGTGCAATGAAGCGCAATGTTTATAGTCATATAGGAAGTAGGTTGGTAAAATAAACGTACACAACATTATCCTCTATAGTTTGTTTAAGTAGGTGTAAGGAAAACTTTTAGTATTGTATCATAACGCGTGTCATAGTCAATGCCGAAAAATGTAGAATGGATAACAAATCAAAAATGAAACACTTAATCTTTTATGTTTTATGTAGATATATGTGCATACATATAATGGGAAAGTAAGTTAGTGGATGGATCCACGGCTTTATATTATTGATAGGTCTATATTGTTCATATAGCACACTAAATTAAGTGTAACGGCCTCGATACAGTCTATATCCATACTAGTATACTGTGTTAATCAATGACTCGTACAGATCAAGCTTAAACACACTTTAATAAAAAAAACAAAAAAAACATTTCACAATTAAAACAATTGTATCTATTAATATCATGATGTGATGGTTCTATCTTTGAATCCAACGACAGATATGTTTAACATTTAATATTAACCATTATAAAAGTACACGAGCAGTGACTCTTGACTGAATGTGTGACATGCTATAGTCAACTGAAGTAAGATATAACAATCAATCCGTATGACGGAGTGCGTCGTTATTTTACATTAAGGTATGTGCTTGTGATCTCGTCAAACACATTGATTTTACTTGAAGGACGTACTCTAATCAAACAGAAAAAAATATTGACATTAGCGAAAAGAGCAAACAGGGTTGAGTGTTTCCGAGTGACGGGTGTTGCAATGCTAACGACGGTCAGTGGGAAATATCTATACTGTTCCTGGTGGCAGGCTTTAAACACAAGCAATAAAGGTTAAACACAATAGGTAAGACCTATCTGTAGCACGGAATTAGTAATATGATTATTGTGGGATTCTTATCTGCCCATCACCACAGAAGAGGTCACTAGGGCCTTGATAAATTCGATAAAACATGTTCAAGGAAGTCTATTCTTAGTTACATTTTTTAAACATATTTTTAACAGATCAGCAGTTTATAGGTACATGTAGGTTAGAATTGTTGAGATATTTACCGTTTAAAAAAAAACAATCTGTTTTTATATTATTTTCAAAAATTCTTTTAGGCGATCTAATAATAAGTATTGTTATGTATATGGTTCTTGACAGGCTATGCATTGAAGCTGATCTTTGTTATATTCAATGCATTTGTAATTCAGTGGATAATTGTTGTAGGAGTGAATGACAGATCGAAGTGTTGCATTTCGTCATTGCCACTAGCAACAAAGTTTACTCCAAGACTGCAAAATTGCTGATAACTGCCAACATTCCAATATAACATAGGTTTATTTCTGTCGAATTGTTGAAAAATGTGACGAAGCAAAAGAATTAATGATAAAGCGGTATCTTCATAATCCAACGATTCCAGTATGGCGTACCGTGGTTGAAAAAGCGAACATCCCTGAGGATTTGTCGGGTGTTACAGAAGCACATCGTAGGTGTGCTGTAGCCGCGTGCACGAGGCTTACCATTACCGTGACGACGAGAACGCGAACAAATGTAGATCGTCACGGGAATTATATACACAAGTCATCCTCGCGTTCAACTCCATTTATCTCCTGACAACGATATCAATTAGTAAACATGCCGCCATTTTGTTAGTATAATAGCAACTGTGACACGACTGATGATAAGCCCAAAATGATTAAAATAGGATGATGTGTTGAATTTCTATTTTTGTGCTATCGACGTCATCATTCGTCATAGTCAATGATACAGTCGTTTTATTGGATCAGATATACAATTAATTAACTCCCTCATACAATTGTTTTAGAATATATTTTCTTAACTATATGTAAAATAAGGATAAAATCGAAATGTGTTGGAGTGTTTATTGCAACTTAGAAATTGAAATACAATGGCTTTTAAACATGCTTTCAATATCTAAAAACTTTAAATGTTTATTTACCCTAAACAAACCCGTGTTTTATACTTTATATCCTTGTTAATTACTTGATGTTATAAAACAAACAGCAAACAAAATGGAGTCATGGACTATGCAGCAAATCATCAAATTAGATTGCACTTACGGATCAAACCTATCAAAGGTTTGTTATAAAGATCAAATCACAACGACACACGCACAGCGTCTCGTTCATGCTTGTAAGTTTATCCTAACAAGCTGTACAGATAGTAATCTAACACGAAACTTTGTGGAGACAGATATCTTTTAAGTTGTACATATTGAATTGATGTACAGCGGAGCCTTGATAATCCAGCATCTTCGTTCCTGGCACAAACGACTAGATTGTTAACGCGCTGGATTACCGAAATACTTGTCAATACAGGATGTCAAAAGATCATGAAAATAATGATTAATGGTAGCTAGATAACCAAAACTTATAAGAATAAACGTATCAGCTGTTGAAATGCTAAAGCGTTATCTGGTATCCGTCACTGCATAAGGTAAAGAAGAAATGAAATTGTGAAAACATTTAATTGGTGAAATCTTAAACGGACACTACTGGATTGGTTGGTCCATTAAGCACCTAAGGTCTTATGAAGACTGGTGCCTATGGAGACACCACCACAATGAATGAAAGAAATATATATCCAAAGTGTTGCAATCATAGCATTAAATTAATTTCGATTTCTTCATTGTCTCCTAAGAATTACACTGATATATGCTATTGATGAGTACACAAAATGTTAATGTACTAATGTTTACGCCAATGTAAGGTCAATATAACAAGACTACGACGTGTCTGATGTATACAAAAAGTACATAGCTAGTCCTCCGTAAGTATCTTAGTAAAGCATTCATATGACATTTTCAATTATCATAATTACAGACTTGTTCATCCTGTATTTAGTAGTCGACTTTCCAAAGCTTTTCTTGGTTTTGTTGGTAATGCTTACCTTACCGGATCATCTTATTTTGTGTGAATGAATCGGGGTTTTTCTTCTATATTTTGTGTAACATTATCTTTTGTTGTCGTCTTAAATTAAAGTTATTTTTTATTGACATTTTACCACCAAACGGTATTGCCATTACATCTAATCACTTCCGGTACAAGTATTCAGGTCACAATCATCTCTCAAATTGAAGGAAAATTGATTTATGTTGGATTTCCAGTTCTTGAGGTTCGCCGTAGCTTTGATGGCCAAAGATATCACTTTTGAGTAGTCACATTGTCCATAATTTGAACACTTTATAAATTTTAAATTTTAAAATTGATAAGTTTTGCGAACCTCACCTTCTGTTTCAACAGTTGGTTAGACCATATGATGCACCGTAATTACTTTTTTGGAATACTGTGTCTATTACCAAATTTTAAAGGTGCAAATACCAGTGTTTGTGTTAATCTTATCTTTGTTTCTCTCTCCAACAATTTTGGCTACTTTATATTATTTGTAAACGTCCAAGCTCGTAATTCATGTACAGTATATAGTCCTTCTAGTTGTTAAAAACGATTACGAATGCCTACGTTTTTGACATAGTTGAGCAATCCCGTATTTAAAACAGTAATGCTATCCCCAAGGGAAGCGGTTTTAGCAGGCTTCAGCTGATTGACTAAGCGTATGTAGGTGAGGCGCGTAACGTAATGTTCATTGGTAAGTCTTGTTTGTTCTGAAAATGCCTCTATCAGCACCGGTTGATGACACGCAAGTCACATTCTTGTATGGTGTATGTCTTAATAACTGATCCAAAGAATTATCCCCCACATTTTACTGATTGCTCTACAGAATTAACTGTGAGTAACGTCTTTGTCAATCCCCGAAAACGAAGCCTTCGCACCGTATGTTTCGACACAAAAGCACCAATTAAATAAGTAAATATTCCTACACAACGTCGTATTTAAGCTAAACACTTGTTATAGGAAACAGTATCTTTTTGCCGAAATCTGTTTAAGGGTTGGGATAAAACAATTCATTACTGAGTCTGGGCATTTACGCATCTTATTTCTCTGGCATACCTTTAAGGTTAAGAACAAATCTATTAGTCAGAAGCGTTGTATT